GACCAACTATCCTTCCTCTAACAAAATCTGACAATTAGAGAAAACCTTGAGTTCTAGGCATGTTGTATCACAAGATAATTAGTGTGCGGGCCATTTTCATTTATATAGTGCTCTGTGAACACAAATTAGTTAGCATAAATCAATTAAATGACGAAAAATTAGGTGTCTATTTACTTGTGACCACTCAGTGTACATAGGGAAGCAGTGCAGTTAAAATACCATTACTGCACGCTCTTCTAATTTTTGAAATTCCCTAAGAGACTAGATAAAGAATGTAGAGTTAAAAATATAAAAGGCCGATCATACCACTAATGTTTTATGATAAGTCTAATTAATTTCAAAACATTGCGCATTATTATTATTTATAAATCTATACATTTTAATGTTTTACTTTTGTTAAGTGAGGAAATATTTGTCGAAAACAAATTCTTCACGTTGACGCACAAAGCAATCATGACTTTGGACTTAAACAGGAAATGAAACCTTATCAATAGTTGACAATACTCAAGAGGGCGCGTGAAATCCTAACTTATGGAGGCGTAGTTGTTATCGTCAGACTTTGATATTATTTGTTAACTATAGTATAAAGAAAGTGACTTGTTACCGAGTTTGTATATTCTAGTGTGCTGTAATGTAGTTTGATTTTGAATTAATGGCTCAATACTAGTTAGAAATATATAACCATGACATGTTAACGAAGCTTGCCATTTCTCGGTGAATTAAGTTGTATAATATTAATACTAATAGTCAGTAATAGATATGTTATGTACTTTTGTTATTGATTTATGGTTTGTCTGGGTACTTGAAGTTGAACTCGGTTGAAATTTGAACCTTTAACTAAATAAATGGCTTCGAAATTTTCATCAGATAAACTCCCATTAATAGGAGAGGAGCTTGTTGGTTTCAGTAAAGAATATTTCCCAGCGACTCAGACATTTCAAACTCGAAGCTCGTCAAAAAAGCTCAAAATATGCGTTCTCATTATTTTTTTGATGCTGATGCCCTTGGTATATTTCATACTAATGGGTATGGATGATTTCAATTTTCAATCTAGACTTGCAGAAAAGCCTGTAACATTTGTTATTGTTGAAGGCCTAGAAGAGAAATATGCACAGATTGATAGCTCTTACACTAGCTTATTTTTAAATAAAATTCAGACAATTTTTTTTACAGTTAAAAACTTCACCCACGTTTTTTTGTTTGTTTTGGGTAACACTAGTGAAAATTATTTCAAAGAGCAGGAAGAAAACTATGTATCAGTGATTGAGGTGGCTCCTCATCTTTCAAACGAGCCTCAGTGTACAAGTATTTCTAACTTGGAAAAATTTGACTGTTACCCTGATCCTGGAGTTAGTGAATCTTCCTGTGTTGCTCGTGGCTGCTGTTGGAAACCCATTGAAAATCATTCTTTATCAGGTAAAAATGTTCCACTGAATACTCCATATTGCTATTACCCTGCAAACTATAAAGGATATTGTGTTCAATCATCTGGAGAAACCCCAACCCGGACACAGGCACGCTTTAAAAGAAACACTCCCTCAGGGTTTCCTAATGATGTAAAAGAAATTGAAGTAGATGTCATAAGTTATGATGACCAGAGATTACGAATTAAGGTATGAATGTAAATTAGAAATCGTATAGCTATTGACTATTTTTTAATTGTGTAATTCTGAGTTCAGGAAGTGTTTTTGTTCCGATATGTTGCTTCAGGAACCAAAGCACTACTTAAACTTTTGTTACAGTTGAACAGCTTTAACCTTGATACAAAAAAGGTTTTTCAGTGATGAACCTTATGGTATGGAAACATTCTCCTGTTCTCATCTGTTCAAGTGTTATAACACTGTAAGAAAAGCTTGATGCTTTACATGCATTGTATAATATTGACCTGTGGTAGTATTGTAATAAAACTTATCACATTAAAGAGCGTGTATTAAAGTTATGAATGTTGTACATTAGGGTTCTGTGCTAGGTTCTTTGCAAGTTATACTGATGAAAATGACAGTGAAATAATCAGTAAGTTGGATAAGTTCACAGATTTTATTAAATTAATGGATTTTTCAAAATGCACTGAAAGTGATTAGTGTTTCAGGAAGATGTTGCTGTTGGGTGAGCAAATCTAATGCCTTTTAATCTTAATAAAAGTAAGATTATGAATATTGGTTTCACAACATTGTTTATTCTTACACCAAAGCTTCAGAGATTTTATTACCAATGTACATTAGCTAGTAATAGAAATTGTATACAAGTTGGAAGAGATCAGTGGATCACTTTATAATGTTCTTGTCAGACTTCATTTGAAATATTGTATTCAGGTTTGGTCAAGATGAGTGTTGAGTTGTTGGAGGAATACCAGGATTAGAGCCGAGTGATTAACTTAATTAATCAAAGCTATGTTTAAATTGATTATTGTCATGAAAATGTTGAACTAATTAAAATATTTCCAATTAATACTGTTTTCAAATATGCTAACTGTCTGAGTAAGTGAAATATTCCCATTAGGATTCCTCATTATTATTTTTGATTAATTCAATGTTGTTCAGTGTTGTCACAACTCAAGAAAATAATCAACTAACCAAAATTTGTGGTTCTGATTATTACTATTTTACATTACTTCAACTATTGAAGACTTATGTGAGAATAATCAGTGAGTTAAGTATAATTAATGAATGAGCCTGTATAGCTTTAACTATAGTTAGTGTGTGGTTGATATCACAATATGATTGCTGATACTTTAGATCAAATATACATTACTACTAAATACCATGTTTCATCAGCTAGGAAATTCCAAACATAAGTCTACTGGATTCAATGTTACCTTTCAAAAGAAATCAATAACCAGCATTCTTGATTTTCTTTATAAGTTTCAAACTGCTATTTTGTATAACAGCAGGAAGATTACTAGGATCTAGCACCACAGTGAAGCCTTATTTGGAGTATTGTGAGCAGTTTTGGACTTTTTACAATAAAAAGGATATCAAAATATTGAAAAAATGCTGAGACAGACTACTAGAATAATTCCTGAAGAAACTAGAAACTTATAGTTTTAAATCTGTGTCACTTAGACTGTAGAAAGATTGAAAGATACAATTTGTTTTTAGATTTTAGTAATTTGGACAGTGTTTCTGTGAGTGGTTTGTTTGATTGGTGGAAGGAAAGGCTTAGATATACATGATATTAACTTGGATAATGTAGTAATAGGTGGAAATTTTGGAAATATAGATGCATATATTTTCTTCCAGTGCAGGATTTTTTTTAGTTAGCTATACATATGGGGAGAGATTTGCCTGTTTGGTGTATGCTGTTAAATGTTGTTTGACATCTTTTTTTTCTGTATTGTTGTTGTGTACCTAGTTTATATCTATATGAAAGGCTACACGTAGACTTAACTATGTATTTTGTTTTTTTTACAGAGGTGTGATGTGGATGGGTGAATATCACTCTTTCTTGTGTTTTTATGTAATATAATCAGCAAGTTTAAACATATTACTTTATGATAATCAACCCAAATCATCTTTCAAAGGTTCTAAACCAGATTGATAAGAGACATGACTAATCGCATTCTTCCAATAGAAAATTATCCATTTATCGCACATTTTTGCTTTCTACTACCACAGCAGTTTTCTATGCACCTTTTCTAACTTTTCCGTAATACCCAATCTTCCAATTTCTGTGATCTATTGTGAGGCACCTTATCAAATGCTTTAAAAAATTAAGATACAGAGTATCAAAAGGGTGCTGTTATCCCCCCAAAAAAACAAATCACAACCCTTTACCAAAAAATTAGTTAGTTTCTAATAGAAAAAAGCCCTCTTATTAAATTTTGAGAAGCAATACTTCAATAACTTTCTAAATTATTTCTGTTGATATGTTAATTCGGATAATAGAAGCAAAACTTGTAGCTCTCTAATTTTTCCAGGTCATCCCTTTAACCCCTTATTCTTAAAAATAAGGGCAACATTGTCAGTTTTCCAATTCATCAGAAATTTTACTAGTATTAATAAAATGTTGAAAATAGCAGTTATTATCATCTCCTTGCCAATCTTCTTCCTTTATACATATTTGAGGATAAATATCACAGCTGACACATGTATTATTACTCTTAAAATGTCTTCCAAGTTTTTCAAACATATTTTCTTCAACAGAAGTAATATTTAAGAAAACAAACATTTTTCTCTTTTAAAGAAGTTGATCATTTAAGGAATAATCCTTTCTTCTCTTTCATGAATAAAACACTAAATAAAAAATATCTTAACTTTTTCTTTTCCTCAGCAAATGTAAAGCAAAGTGGTGCTTTCTATGATTTTTTTTCCAATTAACTTGGACATAAGATCAAAATCAGATTTGATGTTTTGAGTTAAAAGACTTGTAGTTCTCCTTGTTTTTTTAACAATAGCTTTCTTAATTTCTTTATAAGAGTTTCAAACTGGTACTTTGTGTAACAGGAGGAAGGTTATTGTGGCCTTGCATCACAGTGAAGCCTTATTTGGAGTATTGTGGGTAGCTGTGTGTTGTGAACCATTGTGAATGATTAAATATGTTTGTTTTAGTAATGTGATATTCTGTTCATGCTGTTGTAATGGTGTATATGTTCATGTGATATTTGTCTTCTAGGTTATGCCATAACTCATAAAAAATTGGGTAAGAGTTTGTTATTGAGTTTAGCAATAACTTTATTATTTTCAAATTGTACTACATGTAAACTTGACATTTATTATTAAATAATTAGTTAATTCCCATCTTCAATGTTCATCTACTAGAAATGGGCTTTTAGTTGAAATGCATTTCTTTTCTCTTACAATACATATAATTTGATGAAATTGATAAAAAAATCCCTAGCTTTATTAATATTTTTTCAATTTAGAAAGTTCAGCTAGTTTTAATTTTCTCTTATGATTTTTTGTTTTTGAAAGCTAGTTTTCAGAAATTGGAATGTTACACATATTAATTCTGCAACTCAATAAACACTCCAAGGTAATGATGCTATGACTGATAGTGCTGAAATGTTCTTGGACTACCATATTTCAGTGAAATTTTTATTGTATAACTTGAAGCTTTTATAAATGATCACCAGTGTAGTTGCTTGGCTCTGTGATGTATACATCTTAAAAAGTTTCAAGCTTATGAGTAATAATTTTACTGCCAGTTTACACAAGACCTTGATTAAGCTAAGTATGAAGAAGAAACTATACAAAGTAATGGTATTTTAGGAAGGATATTTATTTTCTGGAAAAGATAGAGAGAAAGGCTAAAAAAAATGGACTCTGTTTTTTGGTTTTATAAGTATTGGTTTAAAGATGCACTTGTATTCAGTGTAATACAGAGTAAGAGGTAATCCAAGGCTTACTTCTAGAAAGAATTTTCACATCTGTATTGAAAAGATTGGTAATTGTGACTTGTATATCAAAAGTAGTAAGTATACATTTTGGAAACTGAGCTATATATGCTTGTAATTAGGTAGCTTTATTTTTGTAGTAATATCCCTGAAAGTATATTTTTTATTTGAAATGTCAATTGTCTAGTTATGTGGACCTCAAAGTTTATATTCAGGCGAGCTTGCTGTTTGGTATTGAATCCAAGCCATTATTGTGATGGGCCAATTAGCCTTGTTTTTATTTATATATCAGAAAATAATGTATTACTGTTTAAAGTCCTTGTGCTTGGGAAGTTCCTTGTACTTTTAGCTTGAATAATTACTGTTCTGTTTCAGTCACTATACAAGTATCTAGAAAGTAATACTTGGTACTAACTTAAGATTATCCACTCATTTAAAGGTAAGAAGAAGCTTCTTTACACGATCTTAAAACCCAACTTTTAATGAAATACATGAAATTTTTGTTGTAGTTTATATAATGTTTCAGTTGGGCTCAAAAACTTTTAAGTAATTAATGTATAAACCTGTAGACTACATAAAGTTTTTGCCATCTCTAGGTTACTGATCCATCCAGAAAACGGTTTGTGGTTCCAATCCCTGAGATTCCTAATAAAGAAGAAGGCTTTTCCCCTGATTACCAGGTCCACCTTAACACAACCACAGGTGAACTAAAAGTGACAAGGAAGCAGAAAGGGACTGTCATGTAAGTAATATTTGCTGCTACATACTTGTATGAACTTTATTCGAATATGAAGCTCAGAAGAACAGTTTTATAGGTAAAGGATGGAAAATAAAGCTACGTGCAACACAGAAATGTGGAAGATGAATTGACTGCAGCTAAAGGATGGAGATTAAAAATGAGTTAAAAACTTGAAAAAACAGAACTTTGTGATGAAAAAATAGAAAAATAATTAAGAACAGTTATATAAATAATAGATAAATTAGAAATTTGTACTTCCACTTATATTTTCAAAAGATATTTAGAAATAGTTATGGAGATCATAGAAGGAATTAAAGGTAAACTCTAAAATACCAGTAACAATTACATATGCGAAATAAGATCAAATAAGTACTGAATTGTAAAAACAAGTATATATGAAACAGAAACTTAAGATGGCTAAAAAATGAAAGAAATAGTTGTTTAGATAAAACACGGAAACCAACAAAAACAATTATCTACATGAAATCAAATTTACAAAAATGTAAGAGACCTAGACATTTCTTATATGAATGTGTAGTTGAGTAGCAGGTTGAAGAGGTAAGAACTACAATCTTGAACTTTAATGGTAGTGGTTTTAAATTTTGGAAGAATTAAAACAAAATAACTATAAATCAAAGAAACTGTTCTCTAAGCACAAAATGGAAGTTACGTAAATATGACTTGAAAATTATCATTATACAGGGTTTGAGTACATTATATTAATATGATTTGGAATATGTAAATTAGCAAGTCACATATCAGTAAATCTGATATAAAGACATGTTGAGAAGGCATTTATCAGAATTATATTTAAACGTTGATTGCTTTTGAGAAGGGTATGTAACAACCCTCTCTGACATGAAATGTTCTTACACTCAGGTCATAAAGATGTATTCAGATTGGAAATTTAGAATTACCAATATAGGGATACCCCTTGCACTTAATGGCATTGGAAAACAAATGAATATGGATCAACTTGGAGCAAGAGAACCATCCAGCAAGAGACCTGCACCATATTGTAACCAGCCATGATAACCAAATTGTTGACATCATGTAATAGGTGCAAATCCATGAACACAAAGGTTAGTGGCAAAAGCCATGCACATGCCTAGGCAACAGTACACAATATATTCAAGAATTATCTCCATTTGAAAAGTAGGCCAACAGAGTATAGGTTCACCAAGATAAGGATTTCAGTCATACCTTCTGTTCAACTGTTGCATATCTCAAACAGCTGGTGAACGAAATGTGTATTCATGGTATTCCAGTATGGATTTCAGTGTGAGTGGACTGTTCAGAACTGTGTGGATTAACAACTGAAAGATTAATTATGGATTTATTTGGTGTCATGTGCAAGATACATTTTATTTACATATGTAAAAGAAGATAATTAAAGATGATAAGAAAAGTTAATGTAGGAACAGTTATATAGTTTAATAAAAGCCTAGAAATGGTAAGGTGAAAATCATACATTTAGCGAATAAAGGGAAAATTGTGTAGGGGCAGAAAAAGAAACTAAAGATGACATGAAAATACACAGGTCTTAGTGTTTGTATGTATAACGATATGAGAATTAAAAATCACAGAAACACAAGAATCAGAAATTAATATTAAAATCAGTTTCACAGGAATGGTTTTATAGGTGAAGGAAAAGAACTCATAAACAGTGGGAAAATTTTCAGGACCAGTTATTTTGCTAATAAAAAAGAAAAGTGAAAGTGAATTGGAAACTTTCAAGAACAAGTATTTGAACATATGTAGGTAAAAGAAAAAATTAAAGGTGACTATTAAAACAAACAGTTTTATGTGTGTAAGAATCAAAGGTAACTACAACAACAAAAATAGCTATTTAAGTAAATTATGAGATTTACTAGTATCAATTTTGAAATGCATGAAGTTTTATTATGTTAGTTTACAGAAAAAGAGAAGATGGTAATATGGATAGATATATTTTTACTTAATGAATATTACAAAGAACAAGTATCATACAGTATTATTTATGTGTACTGTAATTTAAAGGTGTGTTTATTGTATATTGCTCTGTGTGTGTGTGTGTGTGTGTGTGTGTGTTTAAATAACTTATTAATTGAATATCCAAAGTCACTGTTGTTGTAAGTAAATTTATGTGAAACAAGCTACCCTAATCTTTATTTAAACATTTCAGATTTGATACAGACATATCAAGGCTGGTGTTTGCTGACCAATTTATTGAGTTATCTACAAGATTGGCATCACATTTCATCTATGGAATTGGAGAACAGAAAGACCATTTTCTTAGGCCAACTAACTGGACTCGTTACACGTTATTCAATCGTGATCAAGCTCCTGTGGTATGGTTTTTGTTATATGATCTGTTAACTACAGTCCAAAATTAGTAAATTATTAGTTTTCAGATGTTTCTTTAGTACAAAAACTAAAATGCTGCATGTATATTTTAAAGCACATACTGTATGTTAATTAGGCTTACCTTTAATGCTGTTGTTTTGGTAGTGTAATTGTGTAAACTTATGATGAAAACAATTATGCATCACAAACTTAGCAGACAGTATAGACATGCATTTTAGTTTTAGATCAACATTCTACAAAATATAATTACAGAATATAATGTTCCTTTTGAAGTAATATGAGTAGCAATATTTTGAGTTGAATCCTTGGTCCTGTCATTGTCAGTCTTTTTGTAGTGTAACATGTATAAAGCTCTTAAAAAGATAAACCTACATAAAGATCTCAAATAAAATGGTTTGGACTTACTACATGTACAAGTAAAAGTACATTTTCCAAATAATAATTATGAATTTTAGCTCATCATAATCCTTATACTAATGTAGATGAAAGTGCAAATGTGGATTTGATGTATCTGGATTTTCAGAAAGTGTTGGACATGACTTGTTAAAAAGGTTATCTCTGTACATATGGAGAATGGTTTACTCATTAGATAGAAAACTGGCAAGAAGTAAGAAAGCAGAAAGCTGTTATAAATGGTGTTCAGGTAAACTGGGTTAATGTCACAAGTGGTGTACTTTAGGGCTCAGTCTTAGGATCTGTTCTCTTTTTATTTTCTTCAGTGACATAATGAAGGAGTGGTAAATATGTCATTTAAGTTTACTGATGACATTAAAGTTGTTGCTGGTTGTAAGGAAGATGCGACTGCTTTACAAAAGAATTTGGTGAGTTAGGCAAATAAATGGATTGTTTTTAATTATAATAAATGCAAGGTTATGCATGTGGATATCACAATTTGAATTATGAGTATAATTTTATTGGGAATAACCTTAACATTGTTATGGAAGAAAATTATCTTGGTGTTCTGGTTGATCAGTCTCTTAAGCTACATTTAGAGTACTGTATTCAGACTTGGGCTTCTAATCTTAGAAAGGATATTTGATTGTTGGAAGGTTCAGAAGAGGGCTACTAGGATGATACCTGGAATGTAAAGGTTGTCATATGAGGATAGGATAAGATTTCTGAACTTGTTTTCTCTTGAAAAAGAATTAGAGAGGATCTGATTATGGTGTTTAAGGGAATTTATGCACCATCTTTTTTATATTTAGTGGTGAGAATAATAAAACTAATGGATGTAAATATAGATTTTGGCAGGGTAGGAATCATCCTTGATTAAGATGACTTTATTTTGGTCTTTGGAACAGGTTGCCTTCAGATGTGGTGAAGGCAGTAAATTTAATGGAGTTTAGAAAGCTTGATATCTATTTGAATAATAAGGGCTGTCTTTGAGGTAATGCATAAATAAGTCTTGTGTTAGCAATAGTGCAAAATAATCTAAGTAATCTAAAATACTTGGCCTCCTGCACCATTTAATATCCCTAAGATTGTAAGATTTTTGTTTAATGATGTTTTTAAACTTAAAATGGACAGACAGTCACAGCTGAAGATAGTGTAGTTAGTTCAGTTCGATATGTACAAATGAAAGATACAACCAGTTGGAACTTTGACTCAACTTTTAAATGAGGCCTGGCATTTCTTGGTAATTAGGGCACTTGACTCGCAATCTGAGGGTCATGTGTTCGAATCCCCCTTGCCAAATATGCTCATCCATTCAGCCATGGGGGGCCTTCTAATATGATGGTCAATCCTACTATGCATTAGTAAAAGAGTATCCCAAGAATTGGTGGTGGGTAGTGTTGACTAGCTGCCTTCCCTTTTGTCTATTACAACTAAAATAGGGACAGCTAGTGCAGATATCTCTTGTGTAGCCTTGTACGAAATTCAAAACAAAACAAACCACTTTCTGAATAGTACACATTAGAAACTGTCTAGATTGACAGTAATCTATCATTTAACAGTTATTAGCAATTTAATATACTTATTTCTTTCCTGTACTATTTAATGATATCACCTGTTCTTGAACTTGCATATAATTCACTAGAGGCTCTGCTAACTTAGCAATGTCCAATGTGCATAATACAATAGTTTGAGGTAGCTTCTAAAGTCACTTTTATCTCATAACATATAACATAATGATTTGGGATGGACATATCGGTCCAGTCACAGTTGTTTCATCCTCTAAACTAAATTCAAATAATTAAAAAAAAATTTTAAATCCAGCCCTTATCATTCACATTTTTATCAAGCTTTTTCTTAAACCCACTTAAGTGTACTTCCTCTACAACATCTGAAAGCAACCCATTCCAAAGGCCAACCACCCTGTTAGAAAAATGAAACTGTCTTAGCTGAAGATGACTCCTACCTTGCCAAGTTTATATTTGTGTCCCCTAGGCCTTCTATTCTCTCTGTTAAGTATGAAAAAAGATCATGCATCAACACTATCAATTCCCTTTACAATCTTAAACACTTCAGTCAGCCCCCCCCCTAACTCTTCTTTTTTTCAAGAGAAAACAATTTGAGAGATTTCAGTCTCTTCTCATATGACAACCCCTCCATCCCAGGTACCATTCTAGTTACCCTTCTCTGAACCTTTTCCAACAATTCAATGTTTTTCCTAAGGTATGGAGCACAAGACTAAACACAATATTCCAAATGTGGCCTAACCAGTGACCTTTACAATGTAATTATAACTTTTTTAGACTTGTATTCAATATTTCTGTAGATACAACCTAAAATTCTATTTGCCCTACCACTAGCAACAGCACACTGCTTGGATGGCTTTAGAGACTGATTGATTATTACACCAGATCTCTTTCCATCATAACACTATTAAGGTTATTCCCATCCAAATTATATTTATAATTCAAATTATGATAACCCACATGCATTATCTTGCATTTATGATAATTAAAACTCATCTACCATTTATTTGCCCAACTCACTAAATGATCTAAACCCTTTTGTAAATCAGCAGCATCCTCTTCACAGCTAGCAACACCCAAGACCTTAAATCATCTGCAAATTTAAGTAAGTTATTGACTATTCCTTAGTCTATGTCATTGAGGTAAATTAAAAAGAGCAAAGGTCCTAAGACTGACCCCTGAGGTACCCCACTGATGACATTAATCCAATTTGACTGAACTCCATTTGTAACAACCCTCTGCTTTCTTCCATCCACCCACTCTTATATCCAATTTGCTAACTTATCCCCCACACCTATAGTGATCATTTTTTTACAAGCCTTTTATATGGCATCTTGTCAGATGCTTTCTGAAAATTCCGATACACCAAATCTACACCCTTACCCTCATCTACATAAGCAGTAATCTTTTCAAAGAATGTCAAAAGAATCGTAAGGCAAGATTTTCCCTTAGTGGAACCATGTTGACTATCCAATAAAATTGTTAAATGACTTTGGAAAGCATCTTTTAACAGACTTTCCAAAACTTTTCCCACAACTGACATAAGATTAATGGGTCTATAATTTCTGGGACAATTCTTATCACCTCCCTTGAAAAGAGGAGTTACATTAGCTAACTTCCAATCCTCTGGTACCATTCTTCTGAAGGTGACTTGTAGTTTGCCGTACAAGTGGTAAAATCCTGGAATGTGACATGTATATGTGTGTTTACATAAATAATCATGTTAGTATATGAACTTGGAAATAACCAATAGACATGAATATGTTGTTTGAGATAATTTTTCTAAAATTAGACATTCAAGATATTATTGATGCATGTGAGCATAGAACAAAAATTTGCTTTTAGTGAGTTTATTAATTCTACTATTTTGTCACAGGAACACATGAATTTGTATGGAAGTCATCCATTTTATTTAGTAATGGAAGAAGATGGTAATAGTCATGGTGTGTTTCTCTTTAATAGCAATGCAATGGGTAAGTGTTCCATATCAAACATTATTCTGTTCTGCAGTTTGTATATCTGCACATTTACATGAACTATGTAAAAATACAGTTATTAACAGTGCTAGTAAAATACTTCCTGGAACACAAAATGCAAGGATCATTGCTAAAACACTGAAGATGTTTTTTTTTATAACTTTTAAGGAATATTTTGTTGAATTGTAATCCAATCTGTTTGGAAATTTTATGGTCTTGTAATAGTTTTTTCTATAATCAATTTATATTCTTTATGTGATCAGGAAGAATTGTGTGTAAATTAAATCATATAGTCTCTCAAAACAATTCATTTGTTTCAGCTCATGATAGTTATTACTTGTTGAATGTTAATATATAAAGATGCAAACAAATATTATAAGTAATACCTTGTGGTTAAATTATTTAATCAAATATAGCATATAGCAAGTACTACTTTAAAATGTTAAAGATAAAAGTCGTTTTTACTTCAATTTTCAAATTTTATGCATTTAACAATGTTTTAGATGTAATTCTACAGCCAACTCCAGCACTGACTTTCCGCACAATCGGAGGAATTTTGGACCTTTTTATTTTTTCTGGCCCAACTCCTGCTGATGTAATAAAACAATATGTCAATCTGATTGGCCGGCCAATTATGCCTCCTTATTGGAGTTTGGGGTTTCATTTATGTCGTTATGGTTACAAGTCTGTGAACGTTACACGAGCAACATGGGAAAGAACACGCAAAGCTAAAATTCCTTTTGTAAGTCCATCGATAATGTTATGATTAACTTAAGTTATAGTTTTTCTATAGGAAATGCATCAGTAATTTACACTTCGTTTTTTTAATAGCTTATGAGTATGTATGCTGTCACAATTTGTCAAGGAAGGCACAAAGCTTTAATAATTAGTATGATAATATCAGGTTCTTTTTTGTGCTCTGTACATATGTGTTTAACTGAGCTAATGTTATTTTGTTGTATTTTCCATTATGTTCAGAAATTGTCATAAAGGTGATTACTTTTATAAAGGTAATGTGAGTTCACTATGCTGTTACTACTATTATAAATTGTTTGTCAGATTCATGCTTTCTGTTATTGTTATCATACAGACTGTTATAAGTAATTTTTTAGTGAACTTATAAGGAGTTTACTTATACATTTTGTGTGCTACTAGCCTTTCTTATTCAGTTATTAGTAATTCAGATATCTCACTTTTCTTTTTCTCAGTAATGGAGGTTGTAAAAAATAACGCACATATCTTAGGTTCTTTTATCTAGTAAATTATTAAATCCACTTGTGTGCATGAAGCACTAACTGTGAAAGAATATTCATTAAATGACAATCTGAAGTTTTGCCAGGGCCTTTTGTGCAACTTGTATTTTTACGTGTGTGTTTCTTAAGTTATGTGCTCATGTAGAAGACACTACACTTTTAGTTATGTTTCTCCATAAAACTCGTCTGGTAAATTTGGCATTTAAGTGAAAATATGTCCCTTATTTTCTGTTGTAACTAAGATTAGTTTTAAACATTTTTAGGATTTTTTTTTTTGTTATGAATTGTAAATGTTTGTAAGTATGGAATCTTATATGATGAAATACATAAAATTAAATATGTTATGTAAAATATTTTGTTGTTTTTCATGAACTATCAGTTTATTAGTATGTGTTAGAATGTCATGGATTTTTTCAGTCTAAAATGACTCTTTATCAATGTGGTTGTGTATCACAATTTAGATCTGAATTTTCTTATGAATTCATAGGGGAAATGTGTTGTTAGAATGAGATTTGTAGGAAGTTTTAGAACAAGTAAAATAGTATTACAGTAGATTTGTTTTTCTTTGTAAATCTCCTGATGGTCATTGTCCTTATTATCTTATTAACAGTTTACTTGCCAGCTTTCTCTGAAAATTTTAAGTTAATTCTCAAAACTAGGCCATAAAAGTTGCATCTGCTTTTTCTTCTCTTTTTGTGGTACCTTATAAAACATTTGTTATTTTTTCAATATTATACATACCAAACATAGAATTAATTTAGTTAAGTTAGTTATTATAATAATAATTTAATTTGCATTCCTAAAAATCATGATTACAAAAAAATATCAATAGTATGTATAAAAACAAACGTAGGTTTCACAAAGACAAGAAATATAGAGGCCTAATATATAGCTATAAAAATATCAGATTGTTTTAGTAAATATGGAAATTTGCATCATGTGATGGCTCAACAAGTGATTCTTTTAATAGGCATAATGTAATGAATTAGTAAATATAGAAGCCGTTTGTATCCATTGCAATTTAATCATTATAAAAGTTTTTCTCATTTATAAACATGATGGTTGAGAAAGTATTAATTTTTTTGTTTGTTTCAACATGTCTGATAACTCAGTTATGTAAAAAATGTCTAATCTTCGGATATCTACACAGAATAGAAACATTATTTTTTATTTTAAAGATAATCAGTCTGTTGTTTGAAAGTATATAATATTTAATCATATAGTTTTCAGGCATTTGTAATACAGTATAACTTTTATTAAACCACAAGCTTTCCTCCCCTTAGCCAAAGTCTGCTATTGGTTGACTATATGTAGCAATTGTTCCTTGGTTTGAAATATTATTTAGCAGTGTGTCATCATTAATTGTTTGAGCCAGTTTTCAATATCCCTGTAAATGCTACCCATATTTACTTCAATGTTTAATTCTATTTTTTGTACCACATAGGATGTCCAGTGGAATGACATAGACTACATGGAACGAAACAATGACTTTACTTATAATCAACAAGCATTCAAGGAACTTCCTGCTTTTGTGAATGAAATACACAATGCTGGAATGCATTATGTTGTCATGTTTGTAAGTATGAGGAAACTATTTTCTTAATATATTTACAAATTAGGCTTATGCTTGTAACTATAATGAAAAAAAGTTGTTTTTGTGTTGTAATTTGTTTGCACATTATGACATACTTACTGTAATGTTGAACAACTTAGTCACTGTGGATCACATGTTGTCAGTGTTTATATGTGTATGTACATATAAATATGGTACAGATGAAGTAAGTTATTATATATAGTGAGTACATATACATTGGGCGTGTGTAGAGAGAAAATGACTGTTACTTTAAAATTGTCTTGCTTACATGATGATTCAGCCACTATGAGTGTTGTCTCATCTGAGTTGTTTATAGTTCATTCACTGCAGAAGGTGTCTTGTTTTTGTGATGTGGTCACCATAGAAGCTGTCTTGTTTGTGTGTGTCTGTGGTCACCATAGAAGCTGTCTTGTTTGTGTGTGTGTGGTCACCATAGAAGCTGCCTTGTTTGTGTGTGTGATAACCATAGAAGCTGCCTTGTTTGTGTGTGTGATAACCATAGAAGCTGCCTT